AGTTTCACAATAGACGTTTATACACCATTCGATAGAGAATTTCAAGAGCTACATTTTGCACTATTTGTATTTCAAGATAGATAAAATCGACTTTTTGGCCTAATGTCCGCTTAGTTGCCCACTGTGTCTGGTTTTTTAGATAGGTGTCACAGTACTTTTGTCACACGTTGCATGAAACGCCTGCGATGAAATCAAAGTTGTAGCGCAAATTCATTAGTCCAAAGCGTACCCTAGGGAATATACCTCAGATCAAGTACTTAGCTGCTCGGAAACTTTCTAAAGTACTTGCTTAAGTACTTGCCCAGCATTTTTAGATTTTATACGTGTCAAGCACTTGGAAGAACTTCGCATACTTGCACATATTGTTAGCAATTAAGGTGCACGTAAAGCAAAAACGGAGCAAACTTTTTTTGCCTTTTTTGTACATCATTGGAGAGAGTTTTTGGAGCTGATCATGAATATATAGTTTATATTTTTTCGAAACGTTTCTTCCATGTCGAAAACTCGACAACCCGTTTTCAATGATCTTATGTCAATTGATCGAGAAAAGTGTTCCAGTTAAAACCCTAAAAGGATTTGTGTCCATGGTACTTCTTTTACGAGTTATGAACCTTTTATTAGGAAAACATGTTTTTATTTAAAAACAAGGAAAATTCAATAAATTATTTTCTAGAGAGGGTGATGTTGGGGGTATCATCTCGTATGGGGTCCGTCCATAAAGTAAAAGACCACGACCATATTTTACAATTAAATTTTTATGTTCTTCCTCTAAATTTAAGTTTAAGAATTTTTCCAAATTTTGAATTTGACTATGATTATTTTGAATTTTTGTTGTTAAATCTAAATAAATATTTCTTTGTAAAATTAATTTATGTTCACTAATTTCTAATTCTTCAGCAGCTTTTTGAGATTCGCATTCTTTACGATATTTTGATATTTTATTATTTGTACTATCAAGACTTTTTATCCATTGTGGAATTTTTTTAAATATATTGCAAGTATTAGTGCCATTACTTAATTCACGATTTACTTCTTTTGCTCCCCTTGTTACAAGTTGATAATGTTCTTGATGTAATTTAAAAGTTTCTTCACAAACATGCAAGACAGGCTGTTGTTTGCGAACTGTTTCGTTTAATTCTTTTGTCTGAATCGTTAATTCAATTAATTCGTTGATCCAATCTTCACGTTTTCTTTTTATTGTCTCGACATTATCCATAATATTTTGTAAACAAAATGTGCGAAGATAATTTTGTATATTTATTAAAGCATTTCCATCATCATCATACGATTTACACACTTCACTTATAGCTAGATCAACTGTTCGACGATCTAAATATGATAATAAATGTAAATGTTTTGTAACATAATAAAAATAACGTCGAACACGATGTATATCACCAAATAATGTTGCTTTTGATTCTCTATATGGATCTATGATATTTTGATTAAATATATTTGATTCAGTATTCAATTGTAAATAATCACGTATTAATTATTTTACAACATGTGTTAATTTATTTAATTTATCCCAATAATCATTAGAAATTGTACGCAAATGTGATATGGTATTAATATTTTCATCTAAAAATAAATGAAAAAATTTATAAAGCAAAAAAAAAAGTAGTCTCATATATTTTAAATATAATTAATTTGACCTTTCAAATTTTCTAATCATTTGTATGCATCATTTTCATCATATTTATTTTCTTGACAAATAGATTTTAATGCATCTAATAATGTAGTAGCAGGTATATTTAATTTATTTTCAATTTTCTTATTATTAATTGTTTCATATTGATCATTTAAATAAATTATATTGATATTTACATTTGTTTCAAATGTTGTTTTCCATATAGGTGGAAATTCATTGTTACTAAAAGTTAAAAATATTTATTTTTTTTTAATAATTTGAAATAAAATAATATATATTATTTTTACTTTTCATTATCGACACATTCATAATCAATATCAAATAAGCCTAATAGAAAATTAAAATTCCATGCACCAAATGTATCAGCTTTTCTTATAAATAAACGTGGATAATAAAGTTTACGAATTTTTTGATTTACTCATATCAATAGGTTCACTTGTTGTATATAAATTAAATATGGAATATTCTTTTTCATTGACTCTTATTTTTGAATTTATTAATTTTAATTCTATAATAAATTCATTTAATTCATCATAATTATATTTTAATCGTACATTCAATCTAATATTTGAGACGATTTTTTCTTCTATTGTTTCCTGTGTGTTAGTTTTTACGTTTTTTACAATTCTACATGTTGACAATCCTGCACTAAAAGTATCAAACTCATCATCATCATGATCATCCATAACTTAGAAAAAACGAAACAAAATTTAATTTCAAGTAATCTAAAAAGAAAAGAAAAGACATATTCTTATCTAATTTAAGATTCTATTTGATCTTTAGATAATAATAGAATCTTACATATTTTATCTTGAATATTGTTTGTGAGTTAACAAAACATTTTATAATACGGTAAGGCCAGATTACTCTGCTATCGGAGCGAAATTCCGTGACAAAATTTTGAGACTTTGTTATGTTTAAATTTTTTTAACCAAACCGCATAAAGCACTGTGAAACATCTAGAATTGTAAAGCAAACGTTTCTCTACAAAATGAAACGCCTTAGGATTCTGCACATTTCTTTGTTTAAAAAATAAATAAAAAATACGAAATGCTACTTTTCTAAAAATGAAGCTGGAAAAGGTTATTTCGTATTTTCCTTTTATTTTTTAAACAAAGAAATGTGCAGAGTCCCGAGACGTTTTATTTTGTAGAGAAACGTTTGCTTTACAATTCTAGATGTTTTACAGTCCTTTTTGTAAGTTTCGTTAAAAAAGTTTAAACACAGCGAAGTGTCAAACTTTTGTTACGAAATTTCATTTCAGTAACAGAGTTATCTGCACGTGTT